GGGTCGTGCCGGATGTGGTCCAAAGCTGTAAAATATGTTTCTTTATTTGAGAGCTCAGAAATGCAGGTCATCGGAATTGCTTGAGAGATGCAGTGAACAAAAATGTCTCAGGATGCCCCTAATTAGTGACTAAACTTATTCTCCACTGAATGTCCACTCATCTATGGTTTTGAATTTTCTTTTTCTGTGGGCAAATGATCTAATTGGCTTCGAGGCATGAAAGTTCTTGGGTTAAACAAAAATATTCTTTTCATTCAAATTTAACACGAAAGTGCAAAGGAGTCCCCCAAATCTTGCTATTAACTAGAGGCTTAGGAAACATTTTTCTTCTTTTTATGTGCATGGGACAAAAAAATAAAACATTTTTTTGGCTTCCAAATGTGTTTTAAACAAACGTGAGAACATCTAGAAGTACAAAAATCTCCAAAAAATGAGCAATTTAAAAAAACGAAAATTGAAGAATTATTAATCCAACTGCAATTTGGTTCGTTTTCTAATACTTTAATTAACGACAGTCCATGAGTGATTTTTCAGCCACGCAGATGGCTATTTTTTCAAATGCTTTGATCAATAATGGCGTCGTCTGGTAGTTAGATGATGGCAATCCTGACGTCAGTTTCGTCCCTTCAAGGATTACCTGCCTAATGGTTTCCCCGATAGAAGCACTTGGCGATCCAAGCTACAAACTTTTATTTTTTAAATTTTTACTTTGCAACGTACAACTACCAGCAAAAAAAAAAAAGAAACATACCGTTTGAGTTTAAACAGAGAATTGCCAGCACCGGTTGGGGTGTTGTGCTTCATACCGATCGTCAGCGAATCGTCGTCACGACTTAACAGAAATGCCGGACTATCAGTGGTTGTGGTTGGCACTTGGATCTCTTTTCTCTCGGGAGGTAGTGCTGCTTGTGCTATTGATAAGCCGTCCTCAAAAAGGCTGTCACTGATATCTTTTTGAAATGAATGAGCAGCGAATTGCGCTTAAACTTCAAGCGTGCTCGTCAAATACTGTTGATATCTGGGAAAATACGGGTGGGCTTGGAGTTCCTTTTGCTATTACGCGACAACCAAGTGCCGACTTGCTGCTGTGCGAGCTTTTGCGTTCGATAAGTGGGGCTCCTATTATCATTCCTGACATCACTGGAAAGGTAATTTTCTCTTCTCCCATAATTGAAAATAGTATCACACGTCGCTCTGGATTATATGCTTTTACAGTAAGCTGCTTAATCATTTGATGAATACAGCATAACACTTCCCTCGAAAGAGGGTGATTGCTGTGGGCACTGCTTACCACTCCGGCTACTTTTTGAATGTCTCCGTCCCTCGCAGACAGCAATAACCCAGGCTGAAACGTGCTAGGCTTGCCGGTGCGGCCATGCGTTTTTGCGCTAAACATGAAGCAGCCAATTCATTAGCTGTACGAATGGTCGTTGCTTTATATGTAACTTGTGCATTCATAGCTATAAATCATCATAGGTCATGTATAAAGGAAAATAAATGATTCCTGTTGAGCGGTCGTTCGTTGAAAATGATCTGGCTGTTCTAGTTTACGGGCTAGCAATTTTTTTATCAAGAATTTTACGTATCCGTTTGTGAGAAACATGTTTCCTGGGAGCAGAATTTGGAATCTTCAAATTGTACGTGGACAGGAAATATCAACTAAAAATTTCAGGTTCCCAGCTTTTCTCATTCCTAAGTCAGCAATTTTCCGGCCAAGATTTCCTGTCCCCTCATATGAGTGCAGACATGCAGGAAAGTTGGTGCCGCGTCCCTGAGATGGCGCTAGGCCAGGGGACCTCTTGGCAAAATTTCAGCATCAAAGCTTGCTTGATTATCGAGTCGAAATACTCCGAAATACTCGGATTTGCGAATTTGCTACAGCATGAAACAGTGCAAAAACATATGATCATACCGGCTCATCTGATGCGTTCCAGGGTTGCATTTGAATACATGATTTTTATGCGTTTTCGCCTATATGCAAATCGCAAAAACGCGTATCGCGACGACCCTGTCTGTCTGTGCATGTGTGTGTATGTGTGTGTATGTATGCGTGTGTGTGTGTGTGTTCGTCTGTCCGGATATTTCAACTCGACAACCAAGCAAGTTCCAGCGCCAAGATTTTGCTAGTAGGTCCCCCGGCCAACTGTTACCCCAGAACCGCGGTACAACTTTCACGCAAGTCTGGATCTCGCGTACGAGGAGTGAAAGTTTTGGCGGGAAAATTGATAACTCGGGAACGAGAAAAGATAGAAAGTTGAAATTTTGAAATTATGTTCCCCGTCCATTTATAACTCAAAAATTTCAAATTCAGCCCCCAGTCGTACATGGCCCTCACATGCGGCCCCGTCGAAACTTTCTTGGCGGGAAAACGCCTAAGTTGTCAGGAAAGCTGGGGAGCCGAAGTTCCAAAGAATGTTGCTAGCATACGTACAACACAAAGCCATCAAATTCAGCCCCAATCCGTACGTGGTCCTCACATACGGCCCCGTGAAATTTTTTGGCTGGAAAATGGCTAATTCGTGAGCTAGCAAAGCTAGGAGGCTGAAATTTACAGGGGATGCTCTCAGCTTACGTGTGACTTAAAGTTATCAAATTCAGCCCGCAGGCATGCGCGGTTCTCGTGTACGGGCACTTAAATTTTTGGCTGGAAAATTACTC